AATTTACAAGTATAATTATAAACGTAAATTACATTATAATTAGGACATTTTTCCTATAACCATTGACACAAAAATTAGCCATCTATATCACACAAAAACCATAAAATGAAAAGATTAAAAAAATATAATCAATGCTCGAACAAAATAAAGATACAAATAAATCTGTCTGCATCGACAAACGAACCACAAAAAGGGATGAAACTACTGAAAGACCACTGCCAAATCATAAATCAGAGTCAAACGACGTAAGAAAACTATCCACGAACGCAAAACGCGTATTCAAATCAACTAGACGGTCTAAAGTAGGGAAGATCAATCTGACAACAAATAAGCGTCATCTTGATCAATCATGACGATGTCAAATCAAACCCTGAGAAAGAAAGATAAATGAAAACAACGACAAAAATCCGTAGGCTACCAAAAGGCAGAGAAAAATATGTCACAAAGTCAGAGATAAACATATCACAAAGACAGAGAACATGTCACAAATACATAATTATTTTTATTAAAAACTTTAAAAAAACAAATAAAAGATAATCGACGGACGACAACTAGCATTAAAATTGGTGCCGTCTTCGGTTAAACAAAATTAAAAAAATTAATTAATTAATAAAATTAACACAAATTATAAAAAAAATAAAAATAGAGGAGGAGGAAGAAAACAACTAGTTTTCAAATATTATATTAAAAATAGTTAATAAGGATGTAATTAATACATATGGGTAGAGGCTACCTCCTTTATGATACTATATTAAAAATAATTAATAACGGAATGCAAAGAATGTGATGTAATTAAGTAGGCAGTGACATTGTCCTCCAAAAAGAGAATAATTGTCTTTAAACCATTTCAAAATTTTAGGGTAAAATACGCATTTGATATTTAAACTATTAGTTTTGATTTGTTTTAATACTTAATTTTTTTTCAAGAGGATCTCTAACGTTTAGTGTTTATTTTTGTATCCCGCCGTTAAAAATGTAATGTGTTTAGTATTTAAATTATTAATTTTAGTCTGTTTTAGTACATAAACTTTCATTATTTTAAACCTAGCGTTAAGTTTTTAATGTGGTACTAAAATAAAATAAAAACTAAACATTAGATATGATTTAAAAAATAAAAGGTTAGATACTAAAACGGATCAAAATTGATAGTTTAGATGGTAAACGCGTAGTTATCCAAAATTTTAAGTTAGTAAAAATAAGAAAATTACATTTTAACCCCCAATATGTTACAATTGAGTGCTGAAACCCTTAAAAAATTACATTTTGACTCCAAGGATAAAAAGATATTTCTTTCATTGAACTCCAAGGATAATGTGTTGATATTTTTATTATAAAAATCTAAACATCAAATTTGATTTCAATTATTTATTAATTTTCTTCAAGTAGAAATCTTACCCTTTTCTTTTAATAATCCCATATACATATATCTTATAAAGATAATGACTTGAATTTAAAAAATTAAAAAAATAACCCTCACTTTACCACTAAAATCGATTAATGAATTGCAATTTTAATTTATTTTATTATTACTGCATATTTATTTTTAGGGTAAACTACGTATTTAGTACCTAAACTATCAATTTTGATTTGTTTTATTATTTAAACTTCCAATGGTTTCAAAATCATACTTAACATTTAGTTTTCATTTCATTTTAGTATCCGCTGTTAAAAATTTAACATGCTTAGCACCTAAACTATTAATTTTAGTTTGTTTTAGTACCTAAACTTTCTTTCTTTTTTCAAAACTTAACGTTAAGTTTTGAATTAAGTTTTGAAGGGATACTAAAATGAAACAAAAACTAAAATTTTTAACGGTGAGGTACTAAAATGAAACAAAAGTTAAACTTTAAGTATGATTTTGAAAAAATTAAAAGTTTAAGTACTAAAACATGTCAAAATTGATGTTCTCTTCCAACCAAGAACCTATCTGGAAACATCGCACCATCTTAAGATTATAGCCCAAACCCTCTTGGGAAAAGAACACTAAAAAAAGATGTTCTCTGCTTTCCATTTCGCCACCACAAATTGATATAATCACACCTACACCAGATCCGGAAGTCATGCCACATGGTCCCATTACTAGGTCAAGAGCCAAACAATTCAGGGAAGTTCTCTTAACTAAGTGTTTAGAAGCTTTTGATTCATTTGATAACTTAACACCCTCCTATGTTAAGTTATATAATGTTTTCATAGATAAAGAATAACTTAGTATGAATACATCTTGCACATTGTTATTTTAATATATTATGCATGATTATAATCAAAGCAGCATACTTATAATGCATTTCATTAGTTCATTTGCATTCATATTAGCTCTTAGGCTTTATACCTTACCTTACACATATTAGGAGATGATATAATTAGCTCATGACATTCAAACTTAGCTCACATTACCATAATCAAACATGGCAGCAATGTAATTAGCTCATATTAGCTCAATACCATGGAATTACCTTGTTTCCTTTCACATGTAGGTACATTGGAGCATAATGAACGTTGAGGTAGCTTGGTGAATGATTTGGACGTCATATGCAGCTCACAAATAGCTTACAAAGTACAAGGCAGCTCATGGAACACTAAAGGAAGCTCGATTCAGCTGGAGGAGCTTAAAGCTAGCTAAACTTAGCTAGTTAGACTATTTGGAGCTGAGTTGCCAAAAGTGATGTCAAAGGTAGCTGAATGTAGTTGAATATGCTGTTATGGAGCTTATAAGGACTTAGCTAGGAAGCTTGTTCACAAACAGCCCATGATTGCTAGCTAGCTCCACAACTCAAGCTAGCTTGGAGGAAACACATGCACGCCCAAGAGAGAGCACATGACCAGCCATCATTCCATGCACAAGGATGCACCACAAGCATCCTAGAGAATCCATGTGCACGCCTTGTGACCAGCCCACCATGTGCTAGGCGTGTGACTTCATTTAGGCGCCAAGATGAAGAGTCCTCTCACCATTCGGCCAAGCACTCATTTCTCTCCAATTTGGAGCCAACTTGAGGGGACACAAGAGCTATTCGGCCAAGGGTTATTTCCCTCCATCCAAGGCCGAAACATTATGTCATTTAGCATTAAAATTATGTCATTTTATAGAGACACAAGGGCTGGCCAAATCCTTTTGTAACCATTCGGCCATGTTTCCCCATTTCCTATAAATAGGAAAACAATCATCATTTGTAAAGAGACCATTTTTATTAATCAAAGTGAGATTATTCTCTTCCTTAAGTCCTGGTGACTTTTTATCGACTTATCAAGTATAATTTATACTTGTGGATTCAACCCTCTTCTTTCATCTTGATACTTCTGGTTCATAGTTCATATAACTAGTGGGTCAAAGTACTTATCACCACCCCTTGAAGAAACAATATAAAGATTGGGTCTTTGCTCTTTATAGCATTGGTTCTTCTTTGAGCGTTCTTCAAGATACTATCCTCACAACCATCCTTTTGTTTCATCGCCATAACCATAACCATTTCAATCATCTTTCGCTTCTATCTTTCATTTTAAACAGCCCACCTATTCACCATACGTCCACCACCCTTAACCCTCTCTTTTTGAGCCATTCACTTGTGCAGGTTGTTTGCTTCCTTCCTAGATCCACAATCAAACGAGAAGGTAGAATTACCTTACATCACAAATTCCACAGTGGCTCTCCACCTCCAATCTCATTCGAAGCAATCTGTCCCTAGTTGGAAGCCTTCTCAATTTCGTCATCTAACATATAATAGTAAACTTAGGAACATGCAATGGGAACCAAATAACCCTATGCCAAGCAACTTTGTCTCCACCCCAAGAGATAAGAGGATCAAATCCAAGATAAATTGATCCCTCACACATCAATAGCAGCAAGCAAAGCTCGAGCCCTCAATCGAAGAGCAAGCAGAGTCCTAAAGATCCAGCTGACATTGACCCTACATCCCACCTGCCAGAAATCTACCCCTTTGAGACATACGCTTTCATCCAAGCAACCTAGAGGGAACCCTCTCCAATCAAAATATTCATTATAAGCATAAACGAGCAAACCTTATTCCAAGAAACATAGGCTCTTCTCACCAAGTCCCCCTTCTGATTTTAAGGTATAAACTTACTTCCAGCTTACTCTAGACCTAGTAGTAGTTGAATCACCCCCTTTCAGAAGAATCTAGCACAGAGCTGTTCGATACGAGCAATAATATCATGGGGCAAGGGGCAAAACCAATTGGTGACACCAATAATTTGTAATGTTGCACAAAACAACTTTTATAAGCTGAAGCCTCCCTGTATAACTAAGCTTTTTGCCAGCCCATTGACCCAGTCTAGACTTTATCTTCTCAATAAGAACCGCACAATCACTCTCCGTCAACTTCCTAGTCACCACAGGAACACCAAGATAACAGATAGGGAGTTTACAAATAGAGAACCTCGAGAACTCTCGAATAGTCCCCAACTGAGCCTCATTATCCCCAGAAACAAAAAGCTTGTTATTCCATGCATTGAATTTAAGCTCAGATCACTTATAAAATTGATCTAAAATACAGTGAACTCCCACAATCGAATCCATAGATTCCTTACAAAATATTAAAAGATCATTCGCAAAACACAAGTGTGTTAGACCCACCTTCTTATACCGATTATGAAAACCCAACAAACTTTCTCAATAGCCTTGTCAAAAGGCTTGCAAAATATTCATAGTTTTTGCTAATTCACTTTTTTTTATTAAAAGAATTCCAGGTAATTTTGAATTTGATTTTATATTTTTATATTAAATATGATATCTTATAATTTTATCTATTTTTATTAATATTCTAAGATAAAATATTATATTAGTATAATTTATAAAATTTATACATAATATAGTTAATATATTATTTTTTATAAAATAAAGGAGTAAAATTGACCAAATTGATTATGGATTTTTCATCAACGAGAATGGCCGAAAAGGATGGAAGAAAAAAGAACACAAATGAAAGCCCAACTAGCACTCAGCTTTGCTCTCCTGGACTAGCGATTAGCAGAGCAGATCGACAATGGCTTCCAGGCTACCCTTCTCGGCAGAATCTCTAAGCTTCTCAAAGCTCCGCCGTCGACACCACTCCGATCTTCACGTCATTCACTAACTCAGCGTTTTCTTCTTCGAAAAGTCTCGACGCCTAATGTTTTTCCTTGGACATTCGCCTCTTCTAGAAGCTTTTGTTCCGACCCTATAAACCTCTCCCAGGATTCCCAGGGACCTGCAGCGATTTATTACCGGTAAATATTCAATCTTTCGAATTTCCCATTAATAATTTTGATTAAGAAATCATTTAAGTGTGTCCCTTTTTAGTCTAATGATTACTGTGGTAACAGTTCGGTTCTGTCGGAAGATGAATTTTATAGATTAGCTAATTCTACAGCTCTTGTTTCCATTTAAATTTAACTCCTTTCTTGTTTTTGTTTTAATCTAGCTTTGGGTGTGTGCAGGAATATGGTGATATTGTTGAACTTGATCGTTTCGATGAGGACTATGGGGTAAGTGATAAAACCTGTTACTCGGCTTTGGAAAGCACTTGGCTTCTTTATGGAAGTTAACACTTAACCCATTGCTTGGATTTAGTAGAATGAAGTGTTGACACTAAAACTTGGGAGTTTGAGCACCTATGTGATGAATAAACAGACCCCTAATCGACAAATTTGGTTATCGTCTCCTATAAGGTATATTTGTTTCCTATTCTTCTGCATTCTCTTCTTTGGGATTGAAGGTGCTGTTTTCCTTATATTCGACTCTCCCTGAGCTGGCCATGATTCTTGTTTATATTCTTTTATTTTTCGTATGAAATTGCATACATGTCTCGACTAAGGTCGAGTATAATAAAGGCCAATGTTATTATCTTATCAACATTCTTCATGAACATCCTTGCAGTTAATTGATATTATATATGTGTTATTTTGAACTTAAAATCATTCTGCTCTTTAGATTTTAACCTTCAAAGGGTGACTGGTTAAATGCTGGCATCACATTGTGTTATCTCTTAATCGATTCAATATCTTATTTGTTATCTTCGGTTGCCATTTCCTTTTTCTCGTCTGCCCTGTAGAGGTCACCGGTAGGCTGGGAAAGAGTTTGAATCTTCTTAAATGCCATTGTTTCTCTAAATGAAAATTGTGGCTAGGAATTGTAGGGAATCAAGTTCCTCTAATTTGAAGAAAAACAAAGATATTTACTACTGGTGACATTTCTTCTTTCCTTGAACTTACTTTGGTACATTCAAGTAGCCTTGAACCCTTTAAACTGTTTTTTTATAAAGATAAGACATTTTACTTCTTAATGGGATAACTTAGATGTAGAGGATTATTGTTCTGATATTCATATTATTTTGTGTTCGGACTTTAGCTGACAACAATGTTTAACTACCGACACTTCATAATAAGGTGCTTATGAGCGTGTTGACCTGATTTCTTTGTAATAATCATGTTTCTTGATGTATATATGATGCCATTTTTTGGGTCAGTTTCCATGGTTTATCATCTTTTACCTTTGATGTAATGTTTTCTGTGCAGTGTCCCATCCAGATTTGACTGGGATCATAATGCTCAAGCTTGGGTTTATCGGCGAACTAAAGCAAATTTGTTGAAACTCTTGGAAAGTGAGGTGGAGCAACTTTGCGGTAAACCGGTCATTCTTTCGTAGAACGTTGTAGATCCTATGATGTTCACATAATTTCGACCTTCGAAGCTTATTTCACAACTAGAGTAGTTTGCCTCGATTTTATTCAGCAAACCATATCTCAAGATTCTTAAACCCCTCATGTTCTTGTAAGTTGTACCATTAAAGCCAGTCTCCAATAAATTATGGTTCAACAGTATGTTAAGAACCCCGATTTCTTTTTTCGCCTAACTTCCGTTGTTTTAGAAACACGCCTGCTGTGGGAGCTGAACCTTGATGACTGGTATAACATCCGTTATATTCGTTTTACATGCTACTCTGTTTACAGATCAGCTGCGAAGAAAACAGCAAACAATTGATCCCAAAGTATTGTGTGATGTTCTTCAAAGATTGTAGTTTCTCTTGAGAATTCGCATGTCATTGTTCTTGCAACAGGTCGCGGGATGAAGTAACCCGAGCAACTTTATCTGTGTCCAACCACCAAAGAAAATAGGCATAGAGGCATATTAGTCAAGGAGGTTTGCGAGTCCAGGCAGTATGATTCGTAGCATCGAAGACTCGAATGGTCTGAGCAATAAGGTAAAAGATTTGAACACCTTGGTTAGTTCATGTCACAAAAAATCAGGCATTATTGATGCAGTTTAGGAAAGCTATTTGTCTTCACTTTATCAGATGGGGTCTCTTGGCCAAATTTGGACAGGAAAGCGACCTAAGTGTAGGACGAGATGACGATAACACGCCGAAAGACGGGTGAAGATAAGGCAGGAATACAATGTATATTTAGTGCCTGACGGTCCATAAAATGCCCCAAATATGCCCACAATTATATGTTTGATTGACATTGTTGCTGTTAGTACAATATTTTTAGTATGTTTAAGCTCGAAAAATCAAATTATTTACGTTAATTCAAAATTTTTATTATACTCCCGATTTCAAGATTTCATCTTGATTAATTGACTTGCGTCGCATATTTGATTTGGTTGGTGAGTCTCTTGGTGGATATTTTATGTGTACACAAATACTCGAATTCAATATTTGCTTTTAATTTTTTAAAATCGCGTATAAATTTTAGTTTTTGTTTCATTTTAATGTCACACCATTAAAAACTTCAGTTTGTGTTTCATTTTAATACTATCGTTCAAAATTTAACGTTTGATTTTTTTTTGAAAGTTTAGGTACTAAACCGGACCAAGACTAATAGTTTAGGCATTAAACGCGTTAAGTTTTTAACAACAGGATACTAAAATGAAATAAAAACTAAACATTAGGTATGATTTTGAAAAAATTGAAAGTTTGGGTATTAAAACTGACCAAAATTGATAGTTTAGATACTAAATGCATACTTTACTCAAGAATTTTTTTTTATATTTAATGATTATAAAAATTTAAACTCATCAAACGACCTTAGTAATAAAATAAATAATTATTCTCTCTCGAAATCTCAAATCTAAATAATGCGTTTGTAGAATGTGTTCACTTGTTAATCATCATATACTATTAAAAAAATATTAAAATATCGATTAAATTTAATGTTATGATCATATCGAAGGCTAGAATCTTATAATATTTTTCTTTCGAAGACTCAAACTTAAAATTTTTCCTGAAAGATATTTAATTTCTTATTATTCAATCAGACAAACAGTTACATTTTATAAATGCTTTGTTAATTTATTTAAGAAAATCATGAAAGGAATTAAATAGAGAAAAAAGAATAAGAAAAACGTAAAATTCATTAGAAAAATATGATATTTTAAATTGTAATTGTGAAAATCGTTTTCAATTATTAATGATTTTTATAAAATCGTCATTTGCTTGAAAAAATATAAGATAATATATGTTTAAAGTTAACTCTCAACTATTTGATATTGAACGCTCACATTTTAATATTTCTGATGCTTGAATCTAAGATCTAAATAAATAATAATAATTCTTTTACTACCGAAAGTAAAGATATTTATTTCTTATTTTTCTTATTATTTCCTTAAATAAACTATTTTTTTATAACGTAGGACCTCCCAAAATCAAGTTGAAGAATCCAACCCTACAAGATAACAAGATAACCTTCGGAGAGATTCAAAGAACCACAACCAAGTGAACGGCCTAAAGTCGAAACGTAAACTACAAGACAGAATGCTCATCACTCAAAAGCTACAACGATAGTCAACCGGTGAATTGTACATGAACAACCCGGAAAACTATACACACGCGCGTGTATTTATACACATATATATAAATACTGAATAATGATTTAATATGGAAAGATGAATTTATAAAAATTTAAAATAAATAATTTATAATATTTTAAAATAAATAAATAAAAATTATCAATAAAAATACAAATAAAATATTTATATCATATAAAGTTTTATAAAATTTAAAGGAACAACCGTGGCATCCAAAAGTGGACAGAAAATATTGGGTGCAAGAAATTTTAAATTATCTTATATTTTTTTTGTATTTTCTATCAATTTTATAATTTTATACTCTTAAAATTTTATAATTTTTCACCCCTTAACTTTTTAATATAATTCTTTAAATTCACACGTCTAACATGAATTATTATGTCTGTCCATAATCCCATCATCATGCTCTAAACCGTAGGGGTCAAGTGCATCCCTATCATTTTAAAAAAATAATTAAATTTAGTTTAATTCATTGAAAAAAAGAAAAAAAATTAATACACATTATTAAAAAAAACAAAATTTTAGATCATCGTGTGTGTGTATAACCACCACCACAGAATTCCCACACCAACCAGAAAACTCCGCAACTCGATCCTCTTTATTTTCACCCCACACTGAACCTTATACAATTCACAATAAATTTAATTAGTCTAATCGGGTGATTAGAGCAGCTAACAAGTTCCCTTCAAGCTGAACCACAATTTCTATATGAGGATCACGATTTCTTGACCATTTTTTATGTGGGATTATGATTTTGATCATGGAGTTGTTTAATTGGTAATACGGAAATTAAATGGGGGGGAAAACTGCTTCCACCTACTGATGTTGATGAGCGGCTGTAATCTCAACTGTGCACCCAAAGCGAGAACTAAAAGGTACAAATCCATTTGTTTATTGCGTTGAATTCATAGTGGTGCTGCCTGAACCAAGTAGTAAATCTATTTATCAATGTATTAGCTTACGCTACCCGAAGAAAAGATTGGACGAGAAAAGCAAAACAAATATCTCTAAGAGACATGAATGTTTCTATCCTACACGATTGTTTCAAAGGTTGATTCGAAGAAACAGGAGCAGCATTGTGATTGGAAATCTTTGGTAAATGGATACACAGTCCAGTTTGGGATGTTAACAGCAGTGGGACAATCATCCACCCAAACGGACCGAGCAAATGACATTGATCTCTGACCCAGTTGCAAGCCAACCACCATCCTATATTGACCAAAGCTCCGTCACAAAATGACCCACACACTAGGTGGTACCTCAACTTGGCTACGACAAACACTCAAAAGACGTGTGGGGGCACACGAGATGACATTTTAGGCAAATACACAGCAAGTGCATGCAACCACACTCATGGCCCAACTTGCTTGTTTAGGCAGAAGAAGATGCGGTGCAAAGTTTTTGACACGCACAATTTCTGTCCATACTCAAAATATATTTCAGAAAAGAGAAATCGAATTGGTTTACGTGCCTTGTGATTGCCCATGGCATTTCACTGACAGGTAGTTCTGACGCCCGCATGACTGGTGAAACGGTGGATAATGGATAGCCAGCCAGCCTTATTAGTGGATGTCGTTCAAAGAATCAAGGACAAACCTTTACTGCACCGCCACTACTTGCTGCGCACATCCTTAAGGCTGCTATTACGTCATATTTACTCTGAAGCCAAAGAACACTTTGTTGAAGTAATTAGCACTCTTAAATTTCTTGGGTTATTAGTACAATCAAACCCCCACTACAGGCCCACACATGGTGTCAACATTCATATCAATGACTATTGTTAGAAAAGGTTAGAGAATCAGAAATAGCAGGCCAAATCCAACTCAAATCAACGGCTAAGATATTACAATTTCTAACAAATTTTAAGGTTCCTTTTAACTGGATTTTCTCACACACTAAGCCTTGTTCTCCTAACGACTCTCTACTCGATCGTGCCTTTCGGACTGAAACTGCACCGTTCCATCTGGTTTGATATGTTGTTGATTCGATATTGGCTTCATCCTCTTTTCTGCAAGTCGTACCTCCGTTTAGGAGATAAATGATCAGGATCGTCCTGTTGAACAATAATGAAAAGAATTGTTAACTCTTGATTTCATGAAAGAGATTAAACGATCTCAATAAGGAAAAGGAAAAGAAATTAAAATGAGAGATGACGGGAAAACAATATGTAAAGAAACGAACAGAGATCAAAGGAGAAAAACAAACCTGAGAGTGAAGATCTGGGGCATTTCCTCTGGTTCTTTTTAACGAAAACAAATTTGTTGATCTAGATACTTCTCTTTCACCAGCGGAATCATCTCCGCTACTAGAAGAACTGGACGCCGGCGGAGGTGTATTTGCTACCGCTGACCACGGCACCACCTGGTAATCGCCGTCCTCAACGTCATCATCGGAATGATCTCCTTCACCATAATCTCCTTCATCTTCGTCGCTGCGAACACCGTCATCGTCATTCTCGGCTTCGCTCTCTTCTCTATAGCCGTCATTAACGCACATCTCGCAGACGGAGACCGTGTGACCGAGCCTGGAACCAGTGGCTCTCCATGGAGTGGGAGATTGGCAAGCGTGACAGAGAAGACGCCTCACGTGCCTCGCCACAAGGAAGTTGGCTCCGTGGACTACAGCGTCGCAATCCCAGCACAAACTGGCTTGATCCGATTCACAATACGTCGTCGCCGCCAACTTGCAGAGCTCACAGCTCTTCATCTCCCTCCCTCTTTCAACCAAATCACAAAAGATGTTTTCCCTCAATTCACCAGCGAGTTTCCTTTCGTTTTCTCGGGAGAATTTATTACGTTTCTATTTTCTAACCCTCTCTCTCTCTCTCTCGTGTATTGCAGAGAATGGCCGATTCAGAGCAAGGGGAGAGAGTAATAAAACTAAACAACTTGCAGTCGGAGTCTAGCCTTTTGCTCTAATTTACAAGTTTGCCTTTGCAATTAACCAAACAAACCACCACCACATGGTTAGCGTTAATTAAACAGAATCAATTAATTAACTAATTCCCTAATTTTAAGTACATATAGATAAACTGCATGTATTATTGTTTGAACGTCGACATTAGATTTATATTAAGATAAAAAAAATTAAACAAAAAAGAAAAGGGTAAATTGAGAAAAGGGTACGGAGGAGGAGAAATTTGATTTGGAAAGGAAACAAGTTTGTTTTGTTTGTTTTTAAAAAAAATTATATATATTTTTATTTTTAATAAATATTTTAGGAACAATATTTAGTCACTTTATTTCTCTTAATTTCTTTTTAGTCACTAAACTATTTTTTTCAAAATATTTAAAATTACATTTTGGCTTGATTTGATCATACATTGTTAAAATATTAATTGTAATATTAATATATATCATAAAGTCATATCATCATCAAAAAAAATTAAAATGTCAGTATTATGTAAATTTTTAACATTATTGACTAAAATAGATCAAAATAACATTAGATAAAGTTTAAAAAATAATTACTTGAGAAACATAGAACGAGAGTGATAGTTCAATGATTAAATATGTATTTACTCAAATATTTTAAAGTAGCAAGGCAGTTCTTTGGGTTAGGCGATGACGTGTCAGTTGAGTGGATAGTCGGATTCGCTTACCTGGCATTTATCCGAAGTAGAGCTTTGGTTACCCACGTGGCGTGCTTACAGGGGTCCACAATGTCGGCGGAAGGAGTGGACGCCTGGACGGCGATCAATTGCATTATTAACAATCCAAATTAATCGGCGGTGCGAATTTAACATTCGACTGTTTTTCTGTTTCCCAAATGATCTGACCAAAGAAATATCTTTAAAATTAATAGAAATATCTTTAAAGAATAGTAGGATTATAAATAGAAAAATTAAAATATTGCTGGAACTAAATACTACCTATTTTCAATAATTGCAATAAAATATTAAGTATAGAATTGACCAATCAAATACTACCTATTTTCAAAATAATTGCAATAATATTAAGGATAGAATTTGACCAATCAAATACTACCTATTTTAAAAAATTATACTAATTGAATGAAAACCATTAACTGAAAACCACAATTTATGGTTCTCAAGTTTAAAACCCACAATATCTAATCTAACAAAATTTAACTTTTTATTTAAAAATAGTAAATAAATTAAAATGATATATATACTTATTAATCATTTTATTTACTTAAAAAATATTTCTTAATAAATTTTTAAAATTATAAAGTAGTGATGTTAATTTTGATTAAACTCATGCATACCTCGAGAAAACATTCTCTTTATTACTGAGATTGCTCGTATATTCTTTATAAAAATTTTGAAAGAGGCTTAAAACTTTGTCAATAACGCTAAAAGCCATAAGTAAAATATTGTCAAATAATACAAAATCTCAAACTAAAAAATAAGATGTAGACTAACCAAACTGTATACACCCCTATTTTATAAAGTCGTGAATTGACGCAGAATTTAATGTTGATAGGTGAATTTATAAAGTTATAAAAAGGAAAAATATTTTTAATAAATATACATATTTATGGTAAGAATAATGGTAGACTGTAAATGAATTTTTAAAAATGATATAAGTTTATATTATTTAATTAAAACTAGACCAGTAGATATACATTTTAAATTTAACATTATTTATAAGATGATATCACTGTTACATCTAAATTAATAACTAATAACTATTATATGGTTTATTTATCATATTTGTTTATTATTGAGATTAAAACAAAAAAGAGGACCCAAAACGTAGTAGTAGCCGCTTTCCTTTTTTTTTTGTTGAGTTATATTATTTTTATAGATTAAATTTATTTTTTATTTTTTATTTTGTTTGTCGAAGGCGGTTGATTGTTTACCGTCGTTTTTTCTTTTATCTTTTAATAAGAATAATTTTGTTTGGGCTCGGAACCGAAGACCATCGTGTGGTTGCCAACAGGGATAAACCATTTAACTCCATCACCGCCAGGTTTTCGGCATCGGGAAGATGGTATTATCGTGCTTTCCGATACAAGTACCGTACTATACCGTTGACCACTTTACAAGGCATTTCATCTGCTTCCACGAGGATGTTGAAGCTCCTGGATTCTGGAATCTGGTTTTGAGTGAAGGTCTTGGTAATGTCTGGCAAGTTTTCTTAATCCTACTGATACATTTCTCCCTGGTATGAAGATTAGTGAAGTCCTTGCGTTGACTTTATAGAGAAGTCAACACGACCCATCATCGGATCCTTCATTTTCCGGCGAGAGGGGGATAACCAGTACATCATTAACGACGAGTTACCGTCTTGGAAAGCGGGTTATCTGTTATCGGTGATGATATTCCGCCTCTTATTTCCTCTATGTTGCTTAATATCAGTAACAGTACACGAAGAAAAGTTTGTTCAATTTTACGACAGACAGATTTGCACTAACACGCCAAACCTAACCCAAAGCTACAAACAACACCACCAGATTAGTGATGGGTTCCGATGGGAAATTGGTTTCTTCAGAAGGGATAATCAGACGGATCAATGGTCTTTGGACTGGTCTGAGCCGGCGGACGAATGTAGCGTGTTTGATGCTTGTGGTAAGTCCGGTACTGCAACAACAAAACTTGGTACCCTGCAAGTGTTTACCGGGCTTCAAGCCACAGTCACCGGAGAATTGGAATCGGGGAGACTTTTCAGAAGGGTGCATAAGAAAATATCTTGTATGCGGCGGTACAGCAACGAGTTCTTGAACTTAAGCATGATAATGTGAAAACCGGATTTAGTATTTGAAGTCGATGAAAGTAAGTGCAGGAGCAAGTGCCTTGAGACCTCTGCCATTGTCAAGCTCATTCCTTTGCTGAAACTGATGCATATCTAAGAGGCGAAAGTATTAGTACTTGCAGCATTTGGACAGATGACCTGAAAAACTTTCAGGAATCATATGCAAATGGTTGATCTCCATCTCAGTGTGCCGATTTCTGAAATGGGGAACAGGACTTGTGGCACTAACATCATTCCCTATCCTCTTAGCACTCGATCGAATTGTGGCGATCTGAAGTACTTCAAATTCGACTGCCAAACTGAAAATGACACTGGTCTGATTAGCTTCAATGCAAATGGTAGAACACTAGAACCTACCGAGTCAGTAGAATCGATCAGGAGACACGAAGGTTTTCCATCCTAGTCGAAAAATGCAGGTCAGGGGATTCAATGGAAAAGCTGTTGCAGCTCCCTCGGTCTTCTCCATTTTCCGTGAGCGTGTCTTGCTACAAAGGATAATTTCAGTATAGATTCTTTGGGGAATGATAAATGGTTTTATGAAGTCAAAATCGAATGGAGTCCACCGATAGAGCCGATCGGTTCGTCTAAAGACTACAAAGATTGGCCGGACTCATCTTGCAATGTAGCACCAGATGGGAAAAATAGGTGCACCTGCAATTCGCCCTCCATATGGGATCCATCCGAGCCAGTTGCACTCGAGGTGAGAATTTAGGAAGCAGTCTATGAAATTGAATCACTAGCTGATTTTCATGTTAAAATTCATATACTGTTCTTCAATCTACTAGAAAGTCTGGATTCTACCTTGAACCAACTCCCTGTCAGTGGACCTTTGGAGAAAAAGAAGCCACCATATCTGATCTTCCTAGGTGTCATCACGGCTATGCTGTTCATCTTGTGCGTCGCTTTCGCTTGGAACGTTCAGACGAGGAGGAGACGAATGCTCAATCGACGAGAAAATCTGGAACTCAGCTTGTACAACAGTGAGAGACGTGTCATGGACTTCATAAATTCACATGACTTCAAAGATGTTAAAAAGGCATAGATATACCGTTTCAGTCTGGAAAGCTATGATTGCCACCGATAACTTCGCCGAAGCAAACAAGCTCGGACAAGGCGGCTTCGGCCTGTTTACAAGGTAATGCCTGCATATCACTGTAAAATTAAGTTTAGTAGCATTACCCGAAATTCTCTTCTCGTTACTCAGGGTACCCTTCCACGAGGACAAGAATCGCCATAAAGAGGCTCTCGAGATGTTCAGGCCAAGGCTTAGAGGAATTCAAGAACGAAGTTTTGATCGCCAAGCTCCAGCACCGAAATCTTGTCAGACTTCTAGGCTACTGTGTTAAAGGGTACGACAAAATGTTGATTTATGAATACATGCCCAACAATTCCTTCATTCGATTATCCTCTAGACCTGAATCTTTATATAGTAAGCTTATGAAATGCTTAACAATGGCATGATAATCGTGCAAGATCGAACGCGGTGCGTGTTGTTGAACTAGGGAAAAGCGCATGGACATAATCTTCGGAATTCGCTCGAGGACTGCTTTATCTGCACCAAGATTCCAGGCTGAGGATTGTTCACAGAGATTGAAAACGACAACATTCTTCTGGACGATGAGATGAACCCCAAAATTTCTGATTTCGACTTAGCTAGGATTTTCGGAGGCAAACAAGTTGAGGCAAACACAGAGAGTAGTTGGCACATAGTAAGTTTCCTTAAGCCCTGCTTGTTTGAACACAAATGACATTGATCATCAAATAAACTACTTGTTTACCTGCAGCGGCTACTTGTCGCCGGAGTACGCACTCGACGGTTTTTTCTCGATCAAATCAGACGTTTTCAGTTTTGGTGTGGTACTGCTTGAAACCATCAGCGGAAAAAGGAACACAAGATTCTATCAAGCCGAACAACCCTTAAGCCTACTAGGCTATGTAAGCAAGCGCACATATTCGATTATTTATGCTTGGAGATAACCGTTCCCCCCCTGTTTACGGACTATGGTATTGAAATGTGGCAGGCTTGGAGGCTGTGGAAGGAGGGCAGGGCTTTCGATTTAGCCGAGCAGTCATTCTGGGAAGCCTGCGACGAAAATGAGTATATCAGGTGTGTTAATGTGGGACT